GAGGAAAGCGACGTTGTCGCGCACGAGTTGGCATTTCTTAATGTCCATTTTCAGTCCGTTGGTGACGATTCTGTCGAGAGCTGAGTCGAGGAGTTCTAGTGCTTCCTTGACCGTTGTTGCTCCTTGCCCTACGTCGTCCATGTAAGTGGAGGTTCGTGGCCATCCGTCGAATGTGCGTCGCATCACTTTCTGCATAGTTTGTGGAGCTTTGCAAAATCCAAATGCCATTCGGAGGTACTCGTACTTTCCGTCAGGTGTTACGAATGCCGTTTTGTGGATATCATCCGGTTTCACGCGTGCGGTGAGGAAAGCTGTCTTTACATCCATTATGTTGAAGTACTTCGACTGGTCACGCATGATATCGTCGATCACATCTTCCATGATGGGCATGGGATAGGACGGATTCACAGTCTTCGCATTCAGCTTCCTGTAGTCCTGAACCATTCTTCGCGGAGTCGTTGGGTGGTGCGGTTGATCCACAACAATCGTCGGTGCGGCACACTCGCTTTCGCTTGGCTGTATGATTCCCTTCTGGATGTAGTCGTCGACCTGATTGCGGATGAATTTTCTGTCCGCTGGGTAGCACCTCTATGCCCGGGATACGACTGGTACGTCGTCCCGTAAATCGATGGAGTGTTCGGCGTGTGGGCAAAGTCCGAGTGATTCTCCCTTTGACACGAAGCCTTGGCTGTGCCGGATGAGAATACACCGTAGTTTGTCCGCTTCATCGGGTGTCGCGTCTTTTGTCATTTCTGACACCGTTTCCTCGATGTCCTGAAGCAACTCTTTGCTTGGGGTCTGTTTTTTCGTGCTGAATCTTACGTATTCCGTCTCTTCGATGGCGGTCGGTGTACTGGATTCTCGTTTGCAGAACGAAACGATTAGTGTCTCTGCGGTTCTGCCTTTCTGATGCGTGGATGTCGTTGAATCGCGCATGTCGCGTGCGGATTGCTCGTTGTCGTCGTTCGGTATTTGCACGATCGTGACTTCGTTCGATGTATGGAAAGTCACATCAACGTTGGCTTGTTGGCGCCAGTCAGATCCCAGTATCACATCCAAAGGCGCTGGCAGTGGAGCGATAACTACGTTGGGAAGCTGCGTTCGTGTGGTACCAACAGTGATGTCCAGCTTTGTTGTGCTTTTCGGTTCAAGCTTGCGATCGAGGACTTGGATGTGCTCTTGTCCTTTCCATGGGCTCGTTTTCGTCCCTACGTGAAGCGCGAATGGTGCGATGATGGAGACGTTAGCACCGCTGTTAATGCAGACGTTAACGGGCCTATCGTTGTGCACGAATCCGTCGACAATTGGAAGGCTGCCTCCAGTGGATCGTAGAAAGCAGTTCGCTTGTCGGTTCGTAACTGAGCTCTGAGCGTTTGACGTTGAGCCAGTGTTGCGTCGTTCTTCTGCACGGAGTGTTGCGGTCGTTTTGGGTTTGGTGCAATCGCGTGACAGGTGACCAGATTCACTACAATTGAAGCACTGTCGGGAGGGAGGCCTCTTGAATAGGCTGCTCGGTGCGGATTCTGATGTTTGGCGTTGAATGTTGGTCTTTCCTGACGATCTAGATTGCTGTGCCTGCGTGCTTGGTTTTTCGTTGCGTCTTCGACAATCGAGCATGGCTGCGCGTTCGATCAGTTCGATAACCGTTTTGCAGCACTGCGCGGCTAACGGGTTAGCCCAATTATCGTCCTTTATCCCGTTCAAAATGAGGGATATGCGTTCTTCCATAGCAAGCGTATATGGTGCCATGTCGAGCTTTGCGTTTTTAGAGTAAATGTATTGAACGATCGACTCACTTTCGACGAGTTGTCGTTTCTCTTGGAACTCGAGGAATTCCTGCATGGTCATCTTTCGTTTAAACCTCTCGGTGTATTCGTTTTTCCAAGAGTCCCAATCGTTGATTTTTGATCCGTATGATGATTGCCAATCTTTCGCTGATCCGCGGAGTCGTGAAATGGCGTTCACGAGGGCAAGTTGAGGTGTCCAATGAGCTAGGGCTGCGATACGTTCCACCTCGGCGATCCAGTGCTTGATATTGGTCTCGATGGCACCGTCGTAGATGGGGATTGCTGTTGAAGTGTCGCTCGTTGAGTGCACCTGCAGTGGTTGCCCTTGTCGTGCCATGGACTCTGAGATTCGGGCTTGCGTCTCGACGATCATCCCGAGAAGATGGGTGATTTCGTGTCGTTCGTTTTCGTGCGGAGTCGACGTTTGCGGGGGAACTTCGGGAATGATGACGTTGCTCTGCGTGGGCGTTGGTCGCGCTGGGATGTCGCTTGGCTCCAGCCGTTGCACTGTCGGGCCGTTGCTGGGAGCCGTTGCTACGTCTTTGGGAACGTCTGATGCCTTCGTCAAAGATACAGCTTGGATGAGGCGTTGCATCTCGGCTTGTAGGCGTTCGACATCGGCTTGGAGCTTGTCGTTGGCTGTGGAGAGTTCCTCGATGCGAGCTTGCTGCTCGTTGCGAGTCTCGCTGACGGACGTGAGGGTTTCCATCGTGCCTTCAGCTCCTCGTCGATTCGCGTCGTCGCCTAGAAGTCTGCGGATGAGTTGCTTTTTCGGTCCGCTGCATGGGAGATGACGAGACCTCAATTCTTCCACCAGCTCGTATTTGGAGAAGAGGTGAAGATCATCAGCGTTCACTGCGTTCAAAGCGTCGTTGACCGTAAAGCGTCGTTCCTTGGTTCCGCTTTCGTTGACGCTTGTTGACGGGGTGTGGCCGCTCGTACCCTCCGTCGATGTCGGCTGCGCCATGTCAGGTTATCCGTTGGGTTTTTGAAAGTTCGTAGGTGATCGTAAGTTTAAGGCGTAGACTGGGGTTGATTTGAAATTCACAAGACGTTTAGTAACTGGGATTACAATCGGTTACACAAGGTTACATTATGTCGGAAGGAAAAGCGGTCGTCCCGTCCGTATCGTACGGTGTCCCGGAGTCGTCTCTGTTGCGAAGGGGCTTCTCCTCGGTGAGACGTAACCCGACGCCTTGCTCCTCTCGCCTCGGAATCCCGCCCGGGTCACGTAAACCGGGGGGCCCGATTCTGGGCGCTCCACGGAGGTGCAATGGGAAAGCCCGGGCTGGACGAAATTTTTGGTCGACTGTCTGGGTCTCTGTCTGGCAGGCAAGGTGGCTCTTCGCGCGGAAGGCGCTTGACGCTGACAGCCCAGATGAATAAAAAAAAAAAAAAAACACTCCAGTTTGCAGCATTGAAACCTGGGATGAAGGCCAGTCAAACGCAGAGTTTGGGGTCGCCCGTGATTAATGCAAAAACATGTTATAGAAGAAAAAGAAAAAATGAAGTTACTACTGAGTCCGCGAGGCTGACCGAAGACCCATTCAGCTCTGAGAAGCGGCGGCGGCATCGGGAGCGTCGGAAGAGTCCTCACTCTTCCGACGCTCCCGACAGGTTGAATATAAGAGTGCACCAAACTCTAACAAGAAAGTGGCGTATAGCCATGTGAAAACGCGCTAGTGTCTTTCGAGATGTCATCTGGTAATTTGTCAGAGATAAGCAATGACAGCTATATGAACAATGCAAATAAGTGGTGCGCTTCGATTACCCCTGAGGCAATGCATACCAATTAGAAAAAATCGCCTGCATGTTTGGTCATTTTTCTAAATGCGTTTAAATGGGGTAGCATTGAAAGGCGGGGGGGGGGGGGGTGCTCTTAGTTCAGGCGATGCCTAGGGCAGGATTTTGTATGGAAACAAAATACTTCACACCATTCTCTCTTCGTGACTCTGCGCGCGCTTCCCTTCAGCACCACACGGATACAGCCTTTGCGCTGAATAGTTTGGGTCACTTAGAAAAAGCACACTTTCATGCCCTTTCCACTCCTCGTTCTGCAGGCGCTTTCTACACCACCTGTTTCTGCTCCTCTCTTTCTGTTCCTTTCCACCCTTCTCCGCTTTGCACGCTTTCTCACACTACCTGCTTGTGCTCCTCCCGTTCCTGTGTGCTGGGTCCGTAGTTCAGACAGCAGCGCACACGGTTTCTACGCCGGTGACCGGGATTCGATTCCGGGCACGGGTTCCTATTTTTTTCAAGATCGTTTTGCCGTTGCGGACCGAGCGGCCTACACATTTCGTGCTTACACGGCTCCTGAGGTTGCTTACACGGCTCCTGAGGTTGGCATTCCCTAGCATTCTGCTAGGGAATGAAAGGGGATCACAATATATTGTGTTTAGAATACCCGTACTTTAACAGTACACTGTATTTATAGTAGTTTACTGCAAGTACATTACGCCCGGTGCACTTACTACTTAACTTGAAGTACATAACCTCTCATTTACTTTATACTTCGCTTCAAGTACTTTTTACATGTACTTTACCCAACACTGATGGATGGTGTACTCCTGCGAGGGTTCGCATTGTGTAGGCGCGCATGTGTGCGTGTTGATGAATGCCGCGCCGTTGGCACTGCTCTGGAAGAGCATCCAGTACGCACATTCTGAACCGTACAAACAGAAATACAAACACACGCACATGCTTTCATTGTTTGGGTCTCCCCCACTGTGGTCTCTTGCCGGACCCCCCGAACAAACTTATAAAAGCATTGATGCTGCTTTAAAAGAAGAAAATGAGAACGATCATTTCGGCCTCGGCCGGTCTTGTAGACTTGAATGCAAGCAGCGCTTAAAGTCTCCACCGGTGGCAGGGGGTCCCTGTCGCAGTCATCTTGGGGGGGGGGGGGGGGGGGGGAGGGGGAAAGGGTAGTGAGTAGGACATACTTTAACAAGCAGCTGGCCTGTGGTGGGACCATGGGTGTACCCATGGTTTTACCCATGGGTTTAGTTCTCAACTTCACTACTAGGGACGCGACGGTTGGTTCAAGGGGTCTCAGAACGTTGAAATCCGCGGGGGTTATGAGATCCCCCAAAACCCCCTTGCCTTTGAGCACCGAATGCAGGGCCCATGTTGGGCAAAGCCTTTCATAAATGGAACCGTAAAGCCCGAGCCCGGCCCGCTGGCCAGGCCGACCCGTGGCTCACGGGCTGACCCTTATTCGTGCAGACCTCTATCGACAACGTAGAAGAAAAGGCAGAGATATTTCTTTTTTAGATAGAAGGGGGTATTTTCACTCTGCTCTGACTGAAATAAATGATGTGTCACCTTGAAATACGTCCATACTGCATATTCGCGAACCGGCATGCACTTTAGAAGTCGTAAAAAAGCGTGGATTCTTAGGACGCGTGTGGGTAAAGACAGCTTCATGCAGTCGGGGTATCCCGCGACAAAGACGCCGCCTCTTAATCTGACATCGATCTGAAAGCAAAAGACCACGCGGCAAGCTAGGTAATCGCTCTTCCTTTGTCAAACGCTATCTCGGAGACGGACTCGAAGGCGCATCGGAAGTGTCGCTCGCCTGAAACTTTGGCAACAAATAAAACACTATCTGTTTTAAAAAGGCTGTCTTTTTCTGGCTAGGGTACAGCCCTCAAAAAAGGGAAGCGACGGCACGTCTAAAAGCTCTCTCTCCCCTACCCCCATTTCGAGGCAAGAGGTCCAATGAGTCAAAATATTCAACGCATCAAAAGATCCATCATTGGACCTCCTGACTCGTTGGACCTCCTCACGCGTTGGACCTCTTGGCTCGCCATGAATTTTTTGATACCTTGGATCTCTTGACGCGTTAGACCTCTTAATCCACATTGCGTCCCTTGACTCGTGTTTTACGAGTCAGGGGGTCCAACGCGCCAAGTGCTAGATTCACTATTGGACCATGTCCCTCCATGAACCTCTTGACTCCCTATCCGATCACCGGAAAAGAGGGTGGGGGGAGGTAAGGGCTTCGGTGAAAGTCGGAACAAGGAGAGGAAGAAAGGGAATAAGGAAAATCAAAACAACGAGGAATGACGACTTTCAGGTGGCAAGGAGGAACGTGGCGGGCAACGGGGTGGGATCCCGCAGCAAAGAGCAAAGCAACAATAAAGAGCAGGACGGCAGAAGAGGACCCAGTGGTCTCGAGAACTAAAGTCACTGGATCTGGGAAAGTAGCGCCATTGCCTTCCCCCCTGCCAGCCGGACACAAACAAATACCAACGTATACAGACGACAAAACCTCTCAAGGTGATTGGCTCATCACTGTCGGTTGCCATGGTGATTGCCATTTTGGACCCTTTGAAAGCTTCGAAGCTGCAGAAGGGTCGTTAAAACCAGTCGCACCAAGATTGCTATGGAGCGTAATTGTACTGAAAGCGTTCCTCGGCCAATATGAGCGTCTTTCGCACTGTGCATGCCAGAAACCTATCAAGACAGTAAAATTTATTTTCAATGCCACCAAGCACTGACGTAGCGTGTGATGGCGGTACGAAGATGCACGGCATTACAGGCGACGCTGCAGCAACATAATTGTAAGAGATATAGGGAAATAAGCATGGAGTTATCAGTTTGTTACATGCTCAGTACCAAAGACATTCATATTGGCGGAGGAACACTTTCAGTGCGATGATGCTCCGTAGCAATATTGGAGCAACTGGTCTTGACGACCCTTTCGAAGCTTCGAAGCTTTGAAAGGGTCCGAAATGGCGATCACCATGGCAACCGACAGCGATGAGCCAATCACCTTGAAAGGCTTTGTCGTCTGTATGTTGGTATTTGTTTGTGTCCGGCTAGTAGGCGGGAAGCCAATGGCGCTACTCTCCTAGATCCAGTGACTTTAGGGTACGACAGGTTTTGCGATCTTGAATGGCTAAGTACGTCAGAGCGTTGTGCTTTCTCCATTTTAATCGGCTGGTGTTCGACGTAATTCGTTCGTGCGGTACGCTTGACTACAGGAGCAATCTCCCGAGAGATGTGTGCGCTATACGGTCGCAGGGACGGGCGGCGGAGAAAATCTCACCGGAGAAAAGCTCATCGGAGATAAGCCGACCGGAGAAGATATCACCGCAGAACTGTCTAATGCGGAGAAATGCTCACCTACAAATCTAAGAATCAAGGGTTCACTCAAGTGACATACGTTCACTCACCTGAAGTATGCAGGGATGCTTCCTGCGCATGCGGTCATTCTGCACTTCACTAGCAGATTTAACACGTCAGGGGTTGCCTGCCAGATGAAAATAAAATAAATACTTTTATTAAAGCGATAATTAAAAAAGGAAAAAAAAAAAAAAAAACATAACGGGGGGAAATATAACCAGCGTAAAGGACTGCAGCTTGAGAAGTTTTTGAATATTTGTTTATGAAATTAACCTTTATGTAGTACACTGTCACAGTATTGCCAACTCTTCATTTCATTTGAACGGAAAATAAAAAAAAGGTCGTATTTCCTCTATCCCGCGTACGTCGGAAATAAATATGGTTACACTCACGCGAAATCGGTCGACATAAAATGGGAACTAGGGTTGCAGCGAGGGTGGAGAATGAAAATCAAGATGTATTAAATGGTGATTTAAAATCAGACGGGTTTTACTAGGATGATTTAAATCAAACCTTTCCCGCAAATGTAATCCCTAAAATATATATAATTTTTTTTACTTACCGTTTGTTTATTATTTGACGCTTTTAATATGCGCATATGTAATGTAAATGTAAATAATATTCACACGATAAATATTTATATCGGACTGAATACGAGCCAAAAGCAGTGGTCTTCCGAGGGAATCGACGCGTTCAGCTGTATTTCTACCTCCGACTTCGTTCTTCAGTTCCGTCACATATTTTTGCAGTCAAATCTAGGGCGCACATGAAGGGCCCCTAGTCAAATCGAAACGCAAAAGATAGAAACGAAAACTGGGAAAGCAGCGTTGTGTTGTAAGAAAATCAGACCGCGAAAAACAAAAGCAAATACAGCTCTTTCGCTCACGAAAAACTAAGCAGTTTTTGTTCTAGTACGGCGGGGTTTTCATGAACAAAACGTTAAAATTAGAGGAATTTTTTTTTTCCACATTGTTTCCACCGATCGGAAGAATCGATCAAACAACCTGCCATGTGTGAAAATGCATATAGTGATAAATAATCAATATGTCTGGTGTTCTTAGTCTGATTTAAATTAGAAGCAATAATATTTTAATTATTATTTTTTCTATCTTGCTAACAGCAGAGTGACCTGATGTGAAGTGTGTCACTGCGTGACACTGTCGACATAAACGAAAGATGGGCTTTTTTTTCTTATATTTTGGGGTTGCCGTCAAAAACTTTCAGTGTGGGCGAAATTACTCATTCGGGGCACAAACCTATGCAATAAAGGTTTGACGCTGCTCAGACCCCTTCGCTAACAAGTAAAATGCAAACAATCGCTTCGCGCTAACTCTGCTGCACGGTGTACCGCCTGCGTGAGAGGCGCTTGAAACCTTGGTAGCACTACTGCTATTCAATGATAACGACCAATTTGAATAATATTTTAATTCGAGGTGAGCTTTTCTCCTGGCCTGTCAAAAACCGGTGAGCTTTTCCCCGGACCCGCACAAAAGTAGGTGAGCTTTTCTCCGGTGAGCTCTTTTCCGGGACTCCGCGGGGGACGCAGGTTGTTTCTGGAATGCAGACTACAGTTAGTCGGTGATTTATTTACGAGGCGCGTTACCGCATAATCAACTCAACTGGCAGGAAGGCTCGCGTGGATGATTTAGACAGCGTAATGTTAGTCAATCATCCGGAGGGTCAACGTGTCTTTCCGCAGTATATTGCCGGTCAGTGCAGCATGACTGCTTTAACTGGCACCACGCTGTACTGAGAACCAGCATCGGCGTGCTTTTCTGTAATCACTACGGCGTGGTGCACGTAAAACCCAGGCTATACTCCGTTTCACCTTAGGATGGACCGCAGCCGATGCAAGAAGCCATCCTTCGAGAGCGCGGGATATCTTGCTCCGCGCGTCGCCTCGCCGGACCGGAAGGTCACATGCTACACTTAGTACACTGTCGGTGCAGGATCGGTTGCGCTGGCTCGTAGCGTCCGCTACGGTCCCTCGTAAGGTGAAACAGAGTACAACAGTCGATCGTACGGCCCCGGCTAAATGACTAATTTCCGGATTAGAGATAGGTCGCCTCCTTGGATGTCTGACAAGCATCGAGCTGTTGCAATATCCAGAAACACCGCTCAGACTTGTGTTGACTGCGTACGGTTCAACATTTTCATTTTATCTGTCTGGTCGTTCGTGGATAACGAAAAAATTCCAAGCGGGAGGTCTCTTAGTTGGTTGGACTACGAAGCCCCAACGGCGCAACGCTGGACCACTGATAAGCGAAAACTGCGCTGCTTTAGAAAGTCCCTAAAAAGAAAAAGAAAAACAAAAAAAAAAAAGCTTTTTTTAACTGTCTCGTTGGAACACGCGTGTCAAAAAATTAATTTTACGCGAAAAAAAATTGTTTAGGGCAATATTGACATCTTATACAATCTTGTGCGCAACAAAGACGAGGACAAAAGCAGAGAAAAGGACACAACAAGGCGCCTTGTTGTGTCCTCTTCTCTGCTTTTCTCTTGCAATATTGACGGCGCGAGACGCGATTTAGTCGGCAGTCATCTCCTTTCCACTTGTTTTCTTTCTCGGCATTTCGGGGATGTGGAGGAGAGGTGATCGGCTTCGCCTTCACGTTGAGGTAGAAAGAGCGAATGACCGAGACGGTCATTCCGGAATGACCCGTGACGTCATGGACTTTGCGCACAGAATTTCAGATAAATCTCTCACCGTCAATATCGCCCTGAAATATTTGTTTCGCGTAATTATATTTTGACACGTGTGCCCAAACTAGACCGTTCAAAAGAAACATTTTGTTTTCCTTTTCAGGCGCCCTTTGCTGCAAAGCAATTTTGGTTTATCAGCGGTCCAGCGGACAGTTCATTTCACAGACACGTTCGTCGCCGTTGGGGCTTCGTTGTCCAACCAACTAGGGGATCTCCCGCTTCGAATTGTTTCATTATCCGCGAGAGATCAGACAGATAAAATTAAAATGATGAACCGTACGCAGTCGACATAAATCTGAGCGGTCTTTGAGACTCCCTCGACTGGGGTGAGGAGCCTTCCGGTGACCCCCTTGCAATATGACGGGGCAGTTCTCGAGTCATTGTACCTGTTGACCCATATTAGATTTCTTGACTTGCGTCTTCCGAGTCAAGAGATCCAACGCGTCATAAGATCCGTTAGTGTACATCCG